TTAAAAAAAAAAAAAAAAGGATCTTGAAATAAAGGGAACTTACAGTGTTAATCGTGCTTTCCAAATTCTGAACAGCACCATAAGCCAGGAAAATAAGGAGAAAAGCCCAGCAGAGGATATGAACATCCCTTGTGTGGTTGAGGGGCTGTGGGTTTTCTTCAACAAGGGGAGATTCTTCATCAATGGCCATAGTCGAAGAAGGCTGGTCCAAATCAGTCCCACCAACTTGCATAACAAGCTCAGCACATAAAAATGCCCCTAATTTTATTGAAAAAAAGGCAAAATTAGGGTTGGCGGTCTGACTAAGGAGGATAAAATGGGAAAAGGAAAGAAGAAGATATTTCGGGTTTTATACAGTATCCAAGATTCTGAATCTACAGACAGCACACTCGAAAGGGACGATATTGATGCTGATGAGCTAATTTTTTTTATTTTATTTTCATTAGCTAATACTCAATTTTATACAAATCGGTAACCAACAGATTACTAATAATTTCGACCTTAATCGGGAACTAAATAAGGGGAATCAAAGAGATATTCCTTAAATTAGGACTGCAAACGAGTCGAGCAGATCGCGAGCACTCGAGTCAAAGCTCGGCTTGAGCTCGAGTTTGACCGAACTCGAGTCGAGTTCGAGCGGCTCGCGAGCGACTCGAAATATATAAAATTACTAAAATATTCTTGAATATATATGTATTACCATAATGCTACCCTACCCACGATGGGCACATGTTAATAAGTCCACCATTTATGTGGCATGCACACATTGGTAATAATATGTTCAAAAAAGTACATTACCAATGAGTGCATGCCACATAAGCGGTGAACATATTAATATGTGCCCACCGTGAGTAGGTGAGCATTACTCTATGTATTTAATGGTTATTTACAAAATTGTTTGAAAAAATTCGAATTGAACTCGAGCCGAGCTCGAGCATTTTGAATTCGAGTCGAGCTTGAGCTTTTGTATTTTTTTTCGAGCTCGAGCTCGAGCCTCATAAATCGAGCTCGACGAGCTCGAGCAGCTAAAAAAAATAAATCAATCCTGCTCGATAAGACCAATGCTCGACTCGGCTCATCTTATTTGCAGCCCAATGACCACACCAGTCGACCAAAACAAATAAAGAAACAAAAACTTCCCAAAACCCAACACCTACAAACTATGAAACATAACATCTACAAATTTATCACAAAGTGAAAATATATCCCTAGTGAGGAATCACGAAAAGCGATGAGGAATTTGGTCGAGATGACATTTTCATAACAAATTGTTCAAGTAACCCTTTCAACTTAAAATTTGGTTAAATAACCTTTGACCCAAAGAAAAATCTTTTGAAATAAAAAAGAAAGTTAAAAATTACTATTATACCCTTATTTGAGTATTATTTTGTTATAGGTATATAAAATGAATTATACATTGACAAATATAAAACGGGATATGAAAATCTTAAAATAACAAATAGATGAGTTATTTAAATATAATCAACAATAGTCTGAAGATTATAAACAAGATTTAGAACCGATAGCAACTAAAATAATCAACGATATTAAGCAAGAAATTGTTAAATGTCCTTGTAAAGAAAAAAAATGAAAAACATAAAGTAATTTTTAATCAAGAAAAGAATATATCTTTTCTAAAATACTCATATCCTAATGATTTAGTAGGAAATGACGAATTAGAAAGTTCAGGAAATTCTAATGCTTTTAGATGGCCAAATGATGCACTGGAAAAATGAATTTTCAAGGAAAACTTGAGAAAAATATATGAAATCTAATTAATTTAGATCTGGATGATAAGTAAGCTATCCAGCTTGAATTTACAATTTGTTTCTTATAAATGAGTGAGGAACAATGTAATTCAGATTTAGAATTAAATTATGAAATGAAAAAATTGTTAGAACTTTATGAAAATGATCAGTTTTATAAGTAGAAGAAACTGAAACTGACACTCAGTCGGAATAAAAAATAAACTTCAGTGATGAGGAAAACTTCTAAAAGAAAAATTTAGAGTGGAGAAACCAAAATCATCTAGAACAAAAATGATCACGATATGAATACTGGTGAATTCGAAAGAAAACCATCAGTAACTCATAGACCACCTAGGTCATCTTTCAGAACCTAAACAGTAACATACATGCATCAGAATTAAGAAATATTATACCCTGAACGAACAAGCCAGTTTGTAAAGATGTAGACCAGCTAACAACCGCAAGAGAGGGTATTCTCTACATTAGCCACATCGAGCTTTCAATGGGAGTCTATCATTATTTTCTTGTGAAGCAAAACTCAGCAGAAGACATGATTTGCTAATGCCAGAATCATCAATAAGAAAAAGCTTAAACCCCACGAAGTTCTTCTTAGGCACGACTTCATTCGATTTCCTTATGAAAATCTTATTTTCCATCTCAACCTTGATCTTCCACCAGCGAAAATTCGCCCGAAACAACTGTTGCTCAGCTTGAACCCTAGCCACTCGCCGGTGCCCATGAGTCGGCTTATCGGACTGATCGACAGACCATGTGATATAGGTGGGTGCGTCAACGACTGCTAAAAGTTGAGCCGATATATGGCAAGAAAAGGGGAAATGTGGGGAAAAATGAGAAGACGTGCGAATGCTAATATTTGGGGTTGCTTTTTGACTAATGACAAAACGTGTGCAGAAGTCCCAGAAGAAAGTAGCAAAAAAGAGGAGTAATTCAGGGGCAATTTGACTCACACACAGCCACGTGAAAATGAGGGCAGCAGTGTAAAAATAGGCTAAATGCATGGGCATTTTCGTCCAAAAAAGACATGTGTCAGCCTCTAAATGCATTACATTTTTTCTTATATGTATAGGAGAGACATATTGTCCTATAAAGATTCCAATAACTGATTTTTTTTTTTTTTTTTAAATTTTTTTTCTAACTAAAAATATAGAAAAGACTATAGCTATTTTAATATTTGATTGATACAGCAAAAAACTATTATTTAAAAGAATTCAAATACATTATTAAAAAATAGTATTCTAGTTTTAATAATTCATAACTATTCAAATACATTATTAAAAAATAGTATTCTAGTTTTAATAATTCACAATTCGACATGATGAATTATGCACAAATATTACTACCTCCTTTTTAAAATAAGTGTCGTTTTGACTTTCTTGATTCATTCATTTTGCTATGTATCTAGACATAAAAATATGTCTAGATACATAGCAAAATAAATGAATAAAAAAAGTCAAAACGACACTTATTTTGAAAAAGAGAGAGTATATAATTTTTTTGGACAATTCAAAATCAAATGAGTGGATAGTTTATATGCATATATAATTTTTTTATCAGCTTTTCACAAATGATTTTTCTTCAATCTTTTTTAATATAAAGATAGACAGATATATATTTTATAAAATAATATATATTTTTATCATATATTTATTCAAAAATTACACTAATTTAAAAATATTTATGTTCAAAATGTTAGGGCTTGATTGTTTATGAAATAATTTGTTCAAAATGAGTTATTTTGGAAACCATAGTTAACTTTGAAAAAAGTGTACGGTTAGTTGTTAGTGGAATTTTAAGAATGTATTAAAATAATATGTGAAATAAAATGATTAAAATTGATTTGATGTAAAAGTAAGAGATAAATGATTGAAAATGATAGGTAGTTAAAATTATGTGAGTGGATGAATAGTGAATTAAAGTTGATGTGATGTGTAAAAATGATTGGTTTGTATTATTTAATTATATGAATAACATTAAAGATAGTGGGGTTGAGTTAAAGTTGAGTTAAATTTTGAGTTGAAATAAAAGTGAGTAAAATAATTTGTAAACAATCAAGCCCTTATTTTTTTTCTTTCCTTCGTCTATCTACTTCATCTTTATCGCTTTACTAAGAGCACCCACAATGCTTTGGGTTTTTTAGAAAAAAGTTACATGCCATGTAAGAAATAGACCTAGTCTATAAAAAAGTGTTCTCCAATGCAATTAAAAGTGGACCTAGTATAGCTTATGTGGCAATAAAAAAATGAGACCTAGTCCACACTTGGGTCTATTTTAGACTCAAGTACAAACCCAAGCACTCATCATTTATTCCTCATTTAATTTTTCTTTTAATAAATGAAATATACTAGAGTATTTTTATTGGTTGTCATATATTCTAGACCTAGTACTTTTTTGTTTTGCATTGGATAGATTTTGGTTTTTTTAGTTTAGGTTTGTCCATGTCATTATGGACTTAAGTCTATTTATTTGCCACATATGCAAAAAGAGACCCAAAGCATTGTGGATGCTCTAAGGGCTGTTTACCAGACTGAACCATATCGAATTCAGGCAAATTTTAGCCAAAGCTTTTCCAAGTCAACCTCCTTCTCCTTCTTCTTCTTCTTCTTCAGTCAATATATTCTATCGGTCGAAATTTCCATTTTTCTTGCGAGTTCAACGCCATAAAATTTCAGCTTTATCTCCGAGTCCAACTCCATATATATGTGTCAAAAATTAGCAACAAATACTTTAGTTATATCTCGCACGCAAGGTGTTCGATTAAATGTCGCAAATGGCTCTCTCGTCTTGCCTGAAGTGTCTCCCCTGTACTCCCCCTCATAACCCGGCCCGCTCCTCCGTTTTCCATCAGGCCTCAAATCCCGAAAGAGTAAATTCATCTAATTTCCCACGTATTAGCTCAGAAAATCCACGGGCACTCTCTGCTGCCGTCTCCTCAGGCACTTCAAGCATACAACTATCCCCGGACTTCAGCCCATGGCAGCTTCTGGAAACCCTCCGTCGTGAAGAGGACGGTACCTCGGCACTGAAGCTCTTCAAGTGGGCCTCACGGCAGCCCAATTTCAAGCCCACTCTCCCTATATACCAAGAAATCATCCAGAAGCTCGGGAATGCAGGATCGTTCAAAAACATACGGTGGGTTCTGGAACATATGAAGCTTTCGGGTGTTGAGCTCGTTGAAGGCACTATCTTTATCGTGATCGATAGTTGCGCGAAATTCGAGATGTACGATGAGGCAGTGGGTGTTCTCGATTTGATGCGAGATGAGTTCCAGGTGGAGCCCACGACCCACACCTATAACTTCCTGCTCAATCTTCTCGTTGATGGGAACAAACTGATACTCGTCGAGAATGTGCACTCCAAAATGCTGAGAGAAGGCGTGTTGCTGGACGTCTCGACTTTCAATATACTGATAAAGGGGTTGTGCAAGGCCCACCAGATAAGGCCTGCAATCCTGTTGATGGAGGAGATGCCCAAATATGGGCTGAGCCCGGATGAGAAAACCTTCACTACCATAATGCAGGGTTATATCCAAGAAGGTAACTTTGGTGGAGCTTTGAGGGTTTGGGAGCAGATGGCCGCAGCCAAATGCCCTTGGTCTAATGTGACTGTAAATGTGTTGATAAGTGGATTCTGCAAAGAGGGCCGGGTCGAGGAAGCTCTGGTTTTCGTGCAAGAAATGGTGAAAGAGGGCTTCTGTCCCGATCAGCTCACGTTCAATACTTTAATTAGCGGTCTTTGTAGAATTGGGCACTTGGATCATGGGTTGGAGATACTCGACTTGATGCTGCAGGAGGGCTTTGATCCAGACTTGTTCACGTACAACACTGTTGTGTCCTGCCTTTGTAAATCGAGCCGAGTGAAGGAAGCCATGGAGGTGCTCGAGCAGATGCTTTCACGAGGCTGTAAACCGAATACCGTCACGTACAATTCCATAATCAGCACTTTGTGTATGGAGAATCGAGTCCAGGAAGCCACTGAGCTCGCTCGATCCCTTACGGGCCGCGGTATTATCCCCGACGTGGCCACTTTCAACTCTCTTATACAGGGCCTGTGCTTGAGCAGCAAGTTCAGCATGGCCATGGAGTTATTCCAAGAAATGAAGACCAAAGGGTGCAATCCGGACGAGTTCACTTACAACATACTAATTGACCGTCTCTGCACCGAAGGCGAGCTCGAAGAAGCTTTAGAGCTCCTTAAAAACATGGAGTCGAGCGGGTGTTCGAGAAATGTGGTCACTTACAACACGTTGATGAAGGGGTTTTGCAAAATCAAGAAAATCGAAGAGGCCGAGGAAATATTTGACCAGATTGAGCTGCAAGGCCTGTCTAGAAATGTTGTCACATACAACATTCTTATCGATGCTCTCTGTAAATCAAAGAGGGTCCAAGATGCAGCTCAGCTTATGGACCAGATGATAATGGAGGGACTGAAGCCCGATAAGATCACCTTTAACTCCATTCTTTCTTATTTCTGCAAAGCTGGCGATATTAAAAAAGCAGCCGATATTGTCCAAACGATGACCTCATCCGGGTGTGAACCGGATGTCTTTACGTACGGGACTTTGATTCAGGGGCTGTGTAAAACAGGGAGAACAGAGGTGTCCGTACGGCTCTTGAGGAGTTTACAAATGAAAGGAATGGATTTGAACCCGCACGCTTATAATCCAGTGATACAAGCGCTTTTTAAGAGGAGAAAAGTTAAAGAGGCAGTGCGGCTTTTTAGGGAGATGGAGGGAAAAGGAGTCTCTCCGGATGCTATTTCGTATAGGACTGTGTTTCGGGGGCTTTGTTCTGGTGGTGGTCCGATAGGCGAGGCTGTAGATTTCGCGCTTGAGATGACGGAAAAAGGGTATCTTCCAGAATATTCCTCGTTCGTTATGCTGGCTGAAGGCCTGTGTGCTTTGAGCATGGAGAAGACTTTGGTGAAGCTTGTGGATAAGATGATGGTGAAGGCGGAGTTTTCGGATAGGGAGGTGGCTATGGTTATGGGTTTTCTTAGGATTGGTAAATTCACCGACGGGTTGGCTGCTTTTGGCCGGATTTTGGATAGCCGGAGCCCTAGAAAAGGTTATTGGTGATCATGAAAATTGGTTTATGGAGTTCATGTAAAACAGTTGATTTGTGTGTACTCGTTTCTTAAAGTTGTAGAATTTTTTGAAGTCATGGAACTTCTTGTATGTCTTCCGGTAAGTTGTATTTTACATCA